ACGAAAATAATTTTATGGTTGGGTCACAACATGAGGAACTGTATTTAAAGGGCCAGAAGGTTGAGAACCACTGTAAGCCATTCAGACACGAGGTCAGGGCTCGCCCTGTGTCTCCAGCCCCAGCGGGGTTGCAGGTGTGGCTCTCTTGGCCAAGTTTCCTTTCTCCTCTAACTCTTCTCTTTCCTTTAAACAAGCTGCTTTTCAATAATTTATTTTTAACATTTATTTCAAACTTCCCAGAAAGTTGTAAGTTCTTGTAGCCCCTGCATCACCAGGCTCCTCCGCTCTTAACGTTCCACTCCATTTGCTCCCCACCTGCCCCTCCCCCACATCTCCTCCCCTCTCCTGAGCCTTTTTTCCTCAGTCAAGATGCCAGTGGCCCCCGAATACTGCAGTGTGTACGTCCCCAGGTCAGGAGCATCTCCTATGTAACTGCGTTCCCCAGGTCAGGGAATCGGTGCGTCGCTGCCCAGTCCACAGACCATTCAGTTGTCCTGCAGCGGCCTTTCCCCGTCCTGATCCAGAATCCCACTCAGGAACACACCCTGCATTTCGTGGTCACCTCTTGGACCTCCTCCAGTCTGGACCGGGCCCAGCCTTGCTTTGTCTTGCGCATCCCGTACGCCCATCGCTTGACCCTCAGCGTGGAGCTTCTGAGGTTGCCTCGGGACCAGCCTCAGCGCTGCATCCTTGGCAGGGCTGCCCCAGAAATGCCACCGAGCTCTTCCCTGGCCCACAGTGTCCAGTGGCGGCACCACAGCGAAGGTCACCGTGACCCCTGGTCACCTAGGTGTCTGCCACACCTCCCCACCATCAAGTCACCATTTACCTCTTTACAAGTAATTCTGTGTTGTGGAGAGATGCTCTGGGATTGTGTCAATAACTTGTCACACGTCAGACCCCAGCCTGCCAGCCTCAGCCTCCGTTAGCAGTCCCGCCTGTCCCGGCAGCACTGTGATGGCCGCTGGGTGATTCTGTGGCTCTCCCGTCGTCCCCCCACCCCCGTTTTTGTACAGTGGCCTGTGCCGTATGGAAGAGCGTTTTAAGGCAACAAACCTTCTGCTCATTTATTTATCCGTTCACTGTTTACCTCAGCGTGGGCCCCGAGGCTCCTGCTTTATTCCGTTGGTCAGGAGCCATTACCACCATTATTTCTTTTGTTGCTTAAATGATCCCAGGTTTGGCCAATAGATGCCCCTTCAAGCTGGCGTCTGTGACCTTTTGACTATCATGTTTCTGGTTCCTTTTTACTTTCCATCTTGTATTTTTCTGGTCCAGCCTCAGTCAGTCACTTCTCCAAGGAGCCCTGGTTCCTTCAGAGCAGAAAACCAGGTTTCAAAACCAAGATGTGCATGTGTGCTGGGCGTGCTGACTGCTGAGGCCCTTTTGGGACAGAACTCAGGCGTACGTGTGTGCGTGCACATCTAGATGTGTCAACACCTGTTCTGTGTGCAACTGAAACATGAGTTGGTTGAAACTTGGCTCTTGGCAGCCTCAGGACATTTATTTGCTTAAACCACTTCACATCCTTGTGCATGTAACTGCCCTCCTCAGCCCACTCCATTCCAGAGTCCTATATCCTTGGATGCCACGTCTCTGTACAACTTTCCCGTCACCACCTGGCAGCCCTCACACTAGGAAGGGGAGCTGGGTGCAGCCTAGAACCTGGGGAAGCCTGCTGGCTGCTGCAGTTACTAGGCCAGGACTGACCAGTCCACGTCCGGGCAGTAAGCTATGTAGACCCTTCCTCCTGTCTCCATGGAGCACAGAGAAGTTGGTGCCCTGGACACCAGTGTCGCGTCGCCTGCTGCCTCTCACCCGTGTCCTTTCCGCAGCCCTTCATGTATGGAGACTACATCGCCTATGACTGCTGGCTGGGGAAGGTCTACGACCTGAAGAACCAGATCATCCTGAAGCTGTCCAACGGGGCCAGGTACGCTCCCCCAGGGCGGGCTTCCTCTCGGCCCTGTCCAATGGGGCCAGGTACGCTCCCCCAGGGCGGGCTTCCTCTCGGCCCTGTCCAATGGGGCCAGGTACGCTCCCCCAGGGCGGGCTTCCTCATGGCCCTGTCCAATGGGGCCAGGTGTGCTCCCCCAGGGCGGGCTTCCTCTCGGCCCCTGTCCAATGGGGCCAGGTGTGCTCCCCCAGGGCGGGCTTCCTCATGGCCCTGTCCAATGGGACCAGGTATGCTCCCCCAGGGCGGGGTTCCTCTCGGCCCCTGTCCAATGGGGCCAGGTGTGCTCCCCCAGAGCGAGCTTCCTCAGGGCCGGTGCGGCAGGTGCCGGGGCCATTCAGGGCCTGACCTGGCCGGGCCTCCTTAGCGCCGGAGCCTAGTGCCCCCTCAGTTTCTGGTCTTGGCCCGTCTTGGTGTGGGGAGAGAAGCATCATCACTTAGGGTATCTGCTGGGAGCTGGGGCTTCAGTTAGACCAGTGGTTCCCAAACTTATTTGGCCTACCGCCCCCTTTCCAGAAAAAATATTACTCAGCCCCTGGAAATTAATTTTTTTAAAATTTTAGCCCTAACTGGTTTGGCTCAGTGGATAGAGCGTCGGCCTTCGGACTCAAAGGTCCCAGGTTCGATTCCGGTCAAGGGCATGTACCTTGGTTGCACGTACATCCCCAGTGGGGAGTGTGCAGGAGGCAGCTGATTGGTGTTTCTCTCTCATCGATGTTTCTAACTCTCTATCCCTCTCCCTTCCTCTCTGTAAAAAATCAATAAAATTGTTAATAAAAAAAAGAAAAAAAAATTTTAATAGCAGTTACTCATCGCCCCCAAATGCACCTGTGGCCATCACCGCCCCCCTGGATCGCTGCAGCGCCCACTTTGGGAATCACTGAGTTAGACATTTGAATGGTGCTGGGCACTCAGAGAGCGGGTTAGGGTTTTGTTCGTTTTAGGAGAATTATTTGTACCAGGCCAGAGGCTGAGCTGTGGACAGAGGAGGAATTGTGACATCTTAGGGCGTGTGACGCACGGACGCGTGGGGATAGCTCTTTCTGATACTAATCAGCATCCCCGGGTCCCGGCTGCCAGGCCTCCCCTGAGGCTCGGTCACTGTGCCGCGTGGTCACCACGCCCATGTTCACTGTTCCAGGTGCTCCATGAACACAGAAGACGGTGCCAAGCTCTACGACGTCTGCCCACATGTCAGCGACTCAGTACGTGTTGGCGGGAGAGGGGCTCATGTTCCTGTTCCTCTGGGCTGTGCGGGAAAAGGACTTCATGGCACAGAGCTGTAGCTGGCCCAGGCTAAATGCTTCTGGGCACGGTGGTTTCCTGGAAAAGGGCAGAAAGGATGAGGACTTCTCTTTATATTCTGTTGACGTCTGTGTCATCCTTTTAAAACCTCGGTGGCTTTGTCTACCGTGTATGCAGTGTTAGTGCAGCACGACGTTTTAGAGCAGGAGTTTACGGCCGACTGTAAATAAGTGTGCTGGGCGCAGTGCCGATCACACAGAGTGGGGGCCCCTGTCCTCTAGAGCCTTAGTCCCCGAATGTCCTCCCGACCAACGACATCGGTGTGGCCGAGCTTGTGCTGCTCTGGAGCCTTGGGGTTTGTTTTAGGGACCATGGGGGCCTCGCTGGGGCAGGTGTTGGGTGAGGGGGGCCGGCGAGGAGTGGGGCTGAAGGTGGCGCGGGAAGCACCATCCCCCGAGGAGGCGCTGCTCAGGAGCACTTTCCTCTGGCTCCAAATCCTGCAGGGTCTCTTCTTCGACGATTCCTACGGCTTCTACCCGGGCCAGGTGCTCATCGGCCCCGCCAAGATCTTCTCCAGTGTCCAGTGGCTGTCGGGGGTCAAGCCCGTGCTCAGCACCAAGAGCAAGTTCCGGGTGGTAGTGGAAGAGGTAGGGCTGGGGGCCGGCGGGGAGCTGGGGTGGGACCTGGAGCTGAGCAACCTGCCCCGTCCTTGCCTGTTCTGAGCGCTGAGCCCGTTGGCCTCGGGACCCTGTTCTCTGAAAGGGCTTTGAGGATAAGGAGAACCCAGGCTGTGGTCCCCCAGCCTGACCGACCCAGGCTGAGCAAGGTGGGGCGTGGGGAGTGGGAGGTCCACTGGGCCCTGAAGAGGTGAGGAGGCGACAGGGATCCCAGGGTGGGGCCTTAGTTACAGGTGGGGGCTGCTCTGGGTGTCGTACTGGTGAACACTGAAGCCCGACTCCTGCCCTGGAGGTCAGGTGGGCTCTGGCAGCTGCTTAAAGGGAGAGCTGTCAGAGCCTGCTGCCTATGGCCCTGCTCGCTCACCGCCCAGGTGCAGGTTGTGGAACTGAAAGTCACATGGATTACCAAGAGCTTCTGTCCAGGGGGCACGGACAGCGTCAGCCCCCCACCCTCTGTCATCACCCAGGAGAACCTGGGCAGGTGAGCGGCTCCAGCGTGCCACCCCCCCCACAAACCCTGGGGCCGGCCCCGAGCAAGTCTCTGGGCCACAGTGCAGGTGGGGGCCGAGAGCTGCTGGCCCAGCCCCGCTTCTCCCCCCCAGGGTGAAGCGTCTCGGGTGCTTTGACCATGCTCAGCGGCAGCTGGGGGAGCGCTGCCTGTTTGTCTTCCCGGCCAAGGTAGAGCTGGCCAAGATCGCCTGTGAATGCCCAGAGAAGCACTGCGCCCAGGGGGAGGGCTCGATGGCCAAGAAGGTATGTCCGTGGGCTGGGCTGGTGGGCATTGAGGAACTGGCCTTGAGCTGTTTCCACAGCCCGGCAGGACGGTCTGTGCTTCAGGTCGTGGGGGGCAGTCCTGGTGACCTTTGCAGGCCACGTAGGAGTACATCGCTGTCACTCCCCAGACCACGCTTCCTGGGGTCAGCCTGCCGGGGTGTCCCACTCTGCAGGGCAGGGTGCGCCAGGCTGGCTACAGCTCCTCCTGCTCTGCCTCGCAGGTGAAGCGCCTGTTGAAGAAGCAGGTCGTGAGGATCATGTCCTGCTCCCCCGACGCCCAGTGCTCCAGGGACCATTCTGCGGAGGAGCCAGGCAAGAGGGGGGGGACCAAAGCCAAGAGTGAAACGGGGTCCGCCAGCCCCGAGGAGACGCCTGACGGGTCCGCCAGCCCCGGGGAGATGCAGGACGAGGGCCCCGAGGAGGCCCTGGAGGCGGGTGAGCCGCTGCCCCCCTTCCTCCTGAAGGAGGGCGGAGACGACAGGCTGCACTCCGCCGAGCAGGACGCCGACGACGAGGCTGCTGACGACACGGACGACACCAGCTCGGTCACCTCCTCCGCCAGCTCCACCACCTCCTCCCAGAGCGGCAGTGGCACGAATCGCAAAAAGAGCATCCCCTTGTCTATCAAGAACTTAAAGCGAAAACACAAGAGGAAGAAGAATAAAATCATCCGTGACTTCAAGCCGGGCGACAGGTACACCCAGAGGGCAGGGCACCCTCCCTCCTGGCTGAGTGTCCAGCCTGGGACCATCCCCTTAACCCCCCATGTGCACACTTGGGCTCACACACAGGGTCTGCAACCCTATAAAGCAGGGGTGGGGACCCTTTTCCCTGCCAAGGGCAATTTGGATACTTATGACATCATTCGAGGGCCTTAATTATCAACTTAAAAATCAGCCTGCTATATTTGGCCAAACATTTAATTAACTCACCCCTAATGCCTTGGCAGGGCCAGACCGAATGATTTCATGGGCCTTATATGACCCTCAGGCTGAATCTTCCCCACCCCTGCTGTAAAGGCTCGTGGTCCCCAGCTGAGATGATGTCGGTGCCTGGGGTTGGCCCGGGTGGGAAGGAGAGATCTGAGAGTAAGACAGAGGGTGGGGCGGTGGCCTTGACCATTCACTTGAGCTCTCCAAACGGGATGTTCTCAGGAAGGTCATAGGCCATGGAGGCTCTAGGTGAGCACCCGCTGGCCTGCCCTGCTTGTGTGAATGAAGTTCCAGCCACCAAGCCCACAAGAGAGAGGGAGGGCAGAAGGGGGCCTGCCCTTGCTCCGGAGGCCTTTGCGTGGCCTGGCTCACTGGCCCCACTGCAGGGTGGCGGTGGAGGTGGTGACCACGATGACCTCAGCAGACGTGATGTGGCAGGACGGCTCCGTGGAGTGCAACATCCGCTCCAACGACCTCTTCCCGGTGCACCACCTGGACAACAACGAGTTCTGCCCCGGGGACTTCGTGGTGGACAAGCGAGGTAGTGCCGGCTCCAGGCGGCCATTCCTTCTCAGGGCCTGGGAAACGGGCAAGCGGGCGCAGGTCAGGAGACTCCCCTGTGAGAGTGGCTGCTCTTTGGAGGACTGGGGGAGCCTTTTCTGACTTCTCTTGACCGAGCCAGGGAACATGTGGGCTCTGTGCCCTGCTGTGCTTGACACGTAGTGGGTGGGTGAGAGGGTAGCAGGTGACACCACCAGGGCTCCTTAGTCGTGTGCTCTCTGGTTCCCTAGTCCAGAGCTGCCCAGACCCCGCTGTCTACGGTGTGGTGCAGTCTGGGGACCACGTGGGCCGCACCTGCGTGGTGAAGTGGTTCAAGCTGCGGCCGAGTGGGGACGACGTGGAGGTGAGTGTGCAGCCCTGCTTCCTCCTCGGGGGGCTCTGGTGGGCTGGGCGCAGAGCCCTGGGCTCACGAAAACCCATCCTGTGCCCAGCTGATTGGAGAAGAGGAAGACGTAAGCGTTTATGACATCGCTGACCACCCTGACTTCCGGTTCCGCACAACCGACATCGTCATCCGCATCGGCAACACTGAGGACGGAGCTCCTCCCAAGGAGGATGAGGTATGGACCCCCAAGTTCAAGTTCCCATAGCTGCGCCTCCTGTGCAGCAGCTGCAGTGCCTGGTGGTGCCACCAGGTGGCTCCAGGAGACCAGACCTCCAGTCCTCTGGCTCATCCCAAGCTGCACCGGCACCAGGAGCGCCTGCCCCCTGCCTGTCAGGTCGCTAGGGAAGCCCTCTCCTTGTCCTGAGCGCTGCAGGAACCCCCGGCTGGGAGGTGGCATCTGAGCTGGGCCTTGGAGAACAGGTGGGATGGTGGGTGTGGTCAGGCAGGTTCCAGCAGGGGAAGCAGAGGGGCAAAAGGCCTGAGGCTGGAACCCATCTGGGAAGGACAGGACGCCTGGGAGACCAGCATGCTGCGCGAGGAAGGGGGGCGGCTGGGGTGTGCACGGCGGCGGCAGGTGGAGTGGGAGTTCGGGGCACAGGGCACGTTGAGGTGTTTGAGCAAGAGGGCCCCGTGCTTGAGCTGCTCACTGGCGTCTTCCAGATGGTGCCCACTTCCCTCGTATTTTTACGGCCTCACCCTTGCCACCCCCTGCTGGCACTCCCTTTCAGAGGTGCTGGCCTCGCCCCTCCTGTAGGGCTGCACCCTTGACCCTGCCCCTTTTGCCCAGCAGCCATCGGTTGGCCAGGTGGCCCGCGTGGACGTCAGCAGCAAGGTGGAGGTGGTGTGGGCCGACAACTCCAAGACCATCATCCTGCCCCAGGTACGGCCCTGCCAGGTCCAGACCGCTCAGCTGCGGCGGCGGGGCTGGAAGCCTGGCCTGCCCTCTCCGCTCAGGGACCAGGGGCCAGGCCCTCATCCTCCTAGTGAGGCGTTTCCTTGTGGGTAACAGAGTTTCAGGGGAAGCTTGAGAGGGAGGGCGGCATGACTCGCCCAGCTCTGTGGTCTCACCCCACCTGGCAGCCCCCAGGTGCATGTAGATGTCACAGACCTCCCTGATTGGTCTGGGTCCCCATCTCCCTGTGCTGAGAAGATGCAGGTTCCTTCGCTGGGGTTCTGAGCTCAGCGCTGTTCTCAGTGCCATTCCTTCACCTCCTTGGTCGAGCCGTCCTCAGGCCCAGCTCTCCCCCTCCTTCCGGGCTGGGAACACATGTGACCCAGGCCAGCTGTCCCAGACGCTCCCTCCTCCGGCATGTTCCCTGCTCCCAGTGTAGCCACACAGCCTGGGGCCCGAGTCCTCTGGGGGTGGGGCTCCAGGTGCTGTTGCTGGGATGGAGCAGGCGAAGGCACCGCCCAGAGACACAGGTGGCACCTAGCACAGAGCGACCTGCAGAGTCCAGCGTAGGAAGGGGAAGGGTGGAGTGGGCTGCCACGGCCCCTGGTGCCGGCAGAGCTCTCAGAGGTGCTGTCTGTTCCCAGCACCTGTACAACATCGAGTCTGAGATCGAGGAGTCGGACTACGACTCAGTGGAAGGCAGCACCAGTGGGGCGTCCTCCGATGAGTGGGAGGACGACAGTGACAGCTGGGAGACGGACAATGGGCTGGTGGAGGACGAGCACCCCAAGATAGAGGAGCCCCCCATCCCACCCACCGAACAGCCGGCGGCCCCCGAGGAGGACAAGGGCGTGGTGATCAGCGAAGAGGCTGCCACAGCCGCCATTCAGGGGGCTGTGGCCATGGCCGCCCCGGTGGCCGGGCTGATAGAGAAGGCCGGCAAGGACGGGCCGCCGAAGAGCTTCCGGGAGCTGAAAGAGGCCATCAAGATCCTGGAGAGCCTCAAGAACATGACGGTGGAGCAGCTGCTGACGGGCTCCCCCACCTCCCCGACGGTGGAGCCCGAGAAGCCGACGCGGGAGAAGAAGTTTCTGGATGACATCAAGAAGCTGCAGGAAAACCTCAAGAAGACCCTGGACAATGTGGCCATCGCGGAGGAGGAGAAGATGGAGGCCCTGCCGGACACAGAGCGCAAGGAGGACAAGCCCGAGGCGCAGTCTCCCATGAAGGCCGAGTGGCCCAGCGAGACGCCGGTGCTCTGCCAGCAGTGCGGCGGCAAGCCCGGCGTCACCTTCACCAGCGCCAAGGGCGAGGTCTTCTCGGTGCTGGAGTGCGCGCCCTGTGAGTCCCCCTTTGGTGTTTGCAGATCTGGGGGCAGAGCCTAGTCCCCACCCAGCCCCTCTGCTGCTCCGGGGCCCGGGGGACAGACACTTCGCTGTGTGGCCACTGGTCCTGGTGGCAGGAGAAACGGGAGGGAGGGGGGGAGAGTGAGGGGGGGGACGGAGAGAGTGGGGACGGACGGTGGGCTGCTCACCTGTCTGGGGAGCACGCACGGCAGCTGCCCTTCTAGATGGGGTGCTCAGGCCTCGCATCAGGGATTGCATGGTCTCTTTCCCCCTCTAGCGAATCACTCTTTTAAGAAAATTGAGTTCCAGCCCCCAGAGGCCAAGAAGTTCTTCAGCGCAGTGCGCAAGGAGATGGCGCTGCTGGCCACCTCGCTGCCCGACGGCATTGCAGTCAAGACTTTCGAGGACAGGATGGCAAGTAGCCCGTGGGCGGTGTGGGCAGGCGCAGATGGGCACTGTGGGCCCCTGGCCTTCGGGCCTGATGGCACTGAGGCCGCCCACACCTGTGATAAGGCGGGAAGCAGGCTCGGTCAGGTCGGGGCAAAGTCCAACCAGGTGGCTCCTTCTCTCCTCCCTCTGTTTTAAAGTTCGTCTTAAATTATATCATTGTTACCCGAGTCCAGTCTTCTTTTTTTTAAGCATATCTTCATTGACCTCAGAGAGGAAGGGAGAGGGAGAGAGAGACAGAAACATAACTGATGAGAGAGAACTATTGATCAGCTGCCTCCCGCACGCCCCCACTAGGGACCGAGCCTGCAACCGGGCAAGTGCCCCCGACCAGAATCGAACCTGGGACCCTTCAGTCCTCAGGCCAACGCTCTATCCACTGAGCCACACAAGCCAGGGCCCAGACTTCCTTCTGAAAACATTAGCCCATTGCAGAAAGAGCTGAGGTTGCCTTTGGCCACTCCCCACCGGCCCTCCGGAGTCCTGACTTGAGGAGTTCGGTGCATTTCCTTACGGATGATGTTTTTTATGTTTTTACATTCTCATGCATCATCATAAACACAAGCTATTTTGTACGATTTGTTTTACATAAATAGCATGGCATTGTGCACATCACCTGTAACTTGCTTTTCTCGCTTAGCAGGGTAATTTCGAGACCTACGCAGGTTGGTTCATATTGGTCTAGTCCCTCCCTTTTTAGCCACAGAATAGCCTTCATGTGACAACATCACACTCCTCTCTGTCCTGGTGGCGGGGCCTGGGGTTTGAGTCATGCCGCCCATGCCGTGTCATTGCTTCCTCCTTTATTCCAGGAAGGGCAGGACCCTCCCCATTCCCCCCTTTCTTACTCAGCAGACCTCTGCTGGGCCTCCTGTGTGCCAGGCGCCCTGACGTGAGCTGGAGTCTGACCGAGGCCCCAGCTCAGCCCAAAAGAGAGACCACAGAGGGTGCTGCTCAGGGCAGGGCTTGGTTCTTCTTGGCTTTCAGGAAACATCTTTTTGAAAATTCCAACCTCTGCTGAGGGAGAAGGGAATAGTATTTCTTTGTTGTTATTTTGTTCTGTTTTTCCCCAAATCTCCCTCAGAGGGGAAGGGACGCAGTGCAAGAACCTGAGGCCCACGGTGGCCCCGAGGGAGCACCCACGGTCCATCCCTCACCGGCAGGGCCACGGACCCAGACCTCGGTGTCTGTGTGGCTCTCCCACGTGTCCTCCTGGAGTTCACATCCCCGTCCCTCTGGTTCCCTGAAAGCAGGCGCGGCCGCCATCCGGGCACTCCTTCACCCCTGATGGTTGTCAGTGTTCTTGCCTTGTTGGGCCTGGGTCAGGGCCGGTGTTTGCTGAAGCCTTCTGAAATAATGGTTAAAGAGAAGTAAAACCTGGAAAATTCCTTTTATGCCAGGAGTTAGACATTAGGTGGGTCTGTACAGAGGGTTTGCATTGGCGTCTCACCGCCGGCCTTGGGGAGTCGCAGGTGCTGCTCTGCCCGCGCGCGCTCTGGAGACCCGTGTGCAGAGCCCCTGCCAGCCACGCCTCCCTCCTCTAGGACCTCTTCTCAGCCCTGATCAAGGGCCCCACTCGCACCCCCTACGAGGACGGCCTCTACCTGTTTGACATCCAGCTCCCCAACATCTACCCGGCCGTGCCCCCCCACTTCTGCTACCTCTCCCAGTGCAGTGGCCGTCTGAACCCCAACCTGTATGACAATGGGAAGGTGTGTGTCAGCCTCCTGGGCACCTGGATCGGAAAGGTCAGTACCATGCCAGCACCCGTCGGGATGGGGGACAGGCCATCGGGTGGTGTCTGGGACAGAGGTGACCGTCCGTGTGTTTCAGGGGACAGAGAGGTGGACGAGCAAATCCAGCCTTCTCCAGGTGCTCATCTCCATCCAAGGTACAGTGGCTGGGGCTCCGGGTGGTGATGGGCGGGCTGGAGGGCACAGCGCTGGCCGCCCCCTTGGGGGTTGAGGTCAGCCGGTCCTGATGGGCTTCCCCCTCGCAGGTCTGATCCTGGTGAATGAGCCGTACTACAACGAAGCCGGCTTCGACAGCGACCGGGGCCTGCAGGAGGGCTACGAGAACAGCCGCTGCTACAACGAGATGGCGCTGATCCGCGTGGTGCAGTCCATGACCCAGCTGGTGCGGCGGCCCGCCGAGGTCTTCGAGCAGGAGATCCGGCAGCACTTCCGCACCGGTGGCTGGCGGCTGGTGAACCGCATCGAGTCCTGGCTGGAGACGCACGCCCTGCTGGAGCAGGCCCAGGCACTGCCCAACGGCATCTCCAAGGACAGCGGCTCTACAGGGCCGCCTGGCGTGGCCGAGCTCTCGGACAG